ATTATTATTATTATATCAAATGGCAGGCGTCTTGATGGTTGTCATAAGCCCTTTAGTTGACTTCAGGCTTCACAGAGAGGAAGGTACATCAAATTAAAAAAAGTCGAGAGGGGAGGGGGAATAGTAGAGTGTTTCAAAGATGTAAAAGAGACAGACACAAAGGTAGAAAAAAGGTGAGGTGAGTACTATGGAAGTAATCGAATATGACATATAGTGAGGTGATGAAAGTTTGAAGTGAGAAGTCAACTGCCAGTTAATAGACTTTTTTTGCCGTATGAGTATACGTTGCTCAGGGTGCACCACGGCAACAATGTCTATAAACCCACAGTTGACTTCTGACTTTAAACTACCATCACCCCACTGCATGTCATATTCGACCCCTTCTACAGTATCAGTCTTACCTTTCCCTGCCTTTGTGTCTGTCTGTCTCCTTTACATCAGTGACTCATTATTCTGTCCCCCCCCCCTCTCGATTGTTGCAATTTGATGTTCCTCCTCCTCTCTGTGAAATCAGAAGTCAGCTAATGGGCTAATGATAACTATCAAAACGTCTACCATTTGAAATAAATATTAATAAAAATACATTTCAATCACGTTATTGACAAAGGTCTCCAAACAGCTGGATGGTTTGGTAAGAATACGAGAAAGCTGCTTTTGCCAACTATTCAATTTATCACTGGTACATTTAGGTTGACCCTTACGTTATGGGAATTCTTTAATCTTACAAATTAAAGAACTGTTCTTTCTAACAATTTCATTAGGTACAAATGATCCCTAGCTTCACCCATGACCGACGTTGATCATTGATAATCCCACCAATAAAAATTGAGCGATGCCGTAATACTGTTTGATTACCTTTTATTCCCTCGAAATGAAAATGAATTGAATAAATGCTGCACATCGTATAATATAGTGAACCAATCTCAATTCTTAGCCATATCAACTGATCCTTTCTTACCGTGACCACTCAGTCTCCTAATTATGTCCATTCTTCAGGCTCACGCTTTCAGATCTAATAATACAAATTAGAAAGTGTTTTTTAATTTCTTAATAATGAATATATGCATGAAGGCAAACTATAGATATTTAATCAATATATTTCCAAATTAAACTAATATATTCAATTATTTCAGCCACGAAGGCAAATGGACGAAGAAACACCCATATACCCCTATTCATCATGTAGAATCATTTTATTCCCCGAATCACATACTTAGCGTAACTTTTATGTGTCTATTAATTGAAAAAAAACAATTGTTGAAATATTTTAAGTTTTCTATTTTTTCCACCCATATAGCTTTTCATTTAATATGAGAAGTGAATGCTGATTTTACTCAAAACATTCAACATTAATTTGATTCGTAAATCCTACAATAAAAACATATCAATTAGCAAGTCCGACAAAATTATTTTAGCTCTTTATAATTTGATGATTCATGTAACGTCGTCAGACAGTCGAATCATTTCTGAGTAATAATTTAAATAAACAAACCAGGAAACAACTTCAGCGAAAATAAGTCTTAACTTACCATTTTTTGCTAATGAAATTATGGATTGTTGAGCAAAAATTTAACTGAGTTTTTTCTCCCTATCAATTCAAACCTTAGATAATGCATCATTGAAATCTAAATATGATTGGTTTCTTGTCACAATGCAAGAGCACGATACAATAAATACCACAATCTGAAGATTGCATAAATTATTTAATTTCTTTTGCCAATGGGTGAACAATCAATTAAATGTGTTGTTATTGGAGATGGTATGATTGGTAAAACCTGTCTTGTACTTCGGTACATGCTGGGAGATAAAGCGGAATTTGGAGATTATATTCCAACAGTGGCAGATAAATATGCAGCTACAGTAAAGGTGGGAAACACTTCAGTGGTCTTTAATCTCTGGGATACAGCAGGTATGGTCCAATTTCCCCTATCTTGATCCAAGGATAATCTATTATAGGTCAGGAAGAATTCAATAATCTTAGAAAGGTGTGCTATCCCAATACCGATGTCTTTCTTGTCTGTTTTGCTGTGGACAATAAAGACGCTTTCAAAAATGTGAAAGAGGTGTGGATTCCGGAAATCACTCAGTATTGTCCAGAGGCCGTAGCAATTCTAGTTGGAACGAAAGTAGATACCCGAGTAATGACAGCCAACCCCAATTCAATATCTACAGACCATACAGTTTCTTACGCCATGGTAAGATGTCTCATAAAATTTTCATTAAATAACAGCTTCAGTTTATATTCTTTTTAAATTTATTTAATTACATTGCCGTATGATTGATGATAAAGAACTGCAAATAATAAGATCTAATAAATTCACTGGAAGTATAATAAAACTTCATCTTCTAATATTTATCGAATGGCTGAAGTTTAAAGTTCACTGAGAATTAAAACAAAACCATTTGGACAACAGTGGTCTATTTATTTGAATGAATAGATTTCGATTTTCTAAAACTGAAAGCCCAATTTTCGGCACTCTGAAGTTGAAATAAGGTACCTAGTATTTATACCTGAAACTTACACTCTCAAATTCGTCAAATTTTCTTTCAATTACATACTCCAGAAACACACCATAACAACGAACTTAGATGTTTGTGGATGTCTTCCAATGGGAACGGCCGTACTCTCAAACAGTGAATAGAAACTCTAAAGATACCTATAGCCAGTGCAGATTTATCACCCATATTTGACGAACCTTTGAAAATGGTGGAAGGCTTACCTATGACACCATGCCATTTAAAGTAGGTGAGATGCCGCATCCAACTTATCAATAAATCAATAGATATGTCAAAATTTCCAGTTTCAGGGGGAGGGAGGGAGGGGGGAGATTTCATCCCTCTGAATGAGAACATTGCATCGGAAATTAAAGATCAGCTGATGGCCCACACATCAATTATGTAGCGATTACTAGAAGTTATTTAAAAATTGATCTACTTTAATAAAAGCAAATATTTTATATGCTTTTTTATCCTCTTCAAGGGTAAAGAAATGGCAAAGAAGTTAAAACTCAAGCATTACCTGGAGTGTTCAGCACAAACGGGCGAAGGAACCAAGCAAGTTTTCGACACAGCAATAAGTGTCGTATTGAATCCAAAAAGAGCCAAGAAAAGCCACAACTGTCGCTCCATGTAAAGAACGCCACTTATCAATGACTTTTTAGGACTTGAGATGATAGTGTATTGTGTTTAAAAGGAAAATAAAGAATGAATAGGGGATACTCTTTTGCCTCTCCTTGTTGATTGATAAGAAATTCATTCAATGGAGGTTAAAATTGCTAAACAACACTTTTGGCACCTTTTGTCCTTTTAGAATGTTAAGATACTCCCTCTTATCGAGAGTCTAATTGCGTTCTATTGCAAAGGTATTACTTAAACTCAAAATCTCGCCTTCTGTGACGGAAATAAAGATATGCACTTTGCAAGAAACGATCAATAAATGACATAGTGTGACAAAATAGCTATAAACCAGACAACGAAGAACGTCTGACTGCGCTTCCTAGACTCAGCTGCGAAAAGCCTAACGCTGTAAAAGCGACCTTGAATGTACCAATCACTAAGAAGCCAATCTTTAAGAGCCAATTAAAATCGTTTCCGAGCAATTTCTTCGTGAACACGAACGCACCACCAACCTTTTAGTGACAAACTGGTAGCTTGATTTCGACTGAACATTTCTAACTAGAATCTCTGCTATCATGGAAGACGCCACCGACCTCTCTTCTGTTCCTTCCGCTCCAACTGAATCCATAGAATCCGATGATAAAGGGGAGAAGTCTTCCAAAACCCATCATCTGCATACCAAATGGTCATTTTATGGTAAGTTCCTTCGAAATATCGGCTGTCATCCTAATGGATGTTTAGTAGGACAACCTAAAGCTCTTTCAGTAGAAATTCATTAAAGTCTGTAAATTTAATGATACTTACTATTCCTTTTACTCTTAAATTTATGCTCTACATAAATCAACTGTATCGAAAAATTCGGTCAAGCGAAGTTTGGAGTTCTTTAAAAAATAATTTTAATTAAAAATGCACAAGCATTTGATTAATGGAGCAGAATTCAGTAAATAAAGTCTTAATTGATCTAATATGTAATTAAATTTTGTTATTATTGTAACATTTGAATTCCGTTATTTTTTTAAGTTTGATTTTGACAACAAATATTATCATTTCTCGTGTTATTTCAAATTTTATCAACAGAAATCGGGTTGCACTTAAGACGATATGATTGCATATTCAAAGAAGCCGACATTTTTTCAATTTTGTCCAGCATCTGATAATTGAAATCACCTTATTTCTTCTAGTTAACGAATTACCAACTAAACAAATCAGTAATCCATGTGGGAAAAACGAGGGACATCAGATTAGGCTCCTGGGACAATGTTCCACCGTAGAAGAATTCTGGAAGGTGTTTAAGATGACCGAAAGTCCAAGTAAACTCCAATCTACAGAAGCGTTCTACCTCATGCGAAACCCTTATGACCCTCAGTGGTATGTTATCCTAGTTTAATTTAATCAATTTTGGGTTGTAAAATCAACGTGATGACCGGCTTTAATCGTAATCAATATGCCCCGTGTTTGAAGGACTTCGAGTCATGAGGCATTGGGATAGAGGAGCTTTAAGCCTCCCTGGTGAACAAATTCTATGATTATTTTTTGTTCAGGTAGGTAAAACGCCAACAGCCAAACAGCCTTTTCAATGTTCAAAGAAGAAAGGACAAAATTGTGAAAACAGTCACTCTTTCATTCAATCTTATGAAAAATGATGAATAGACCACATCAAACCGCTTATACTCTTTTGTTGTGATAAACACCGGTTGTTCGCCTTTTGAATGGGTAATAGATATCAAACTCAGATCCCATTTTTAAACATTTTACATTAGATAACTTCAGTATATTAAGCCTTTCTGGTCATAAAGTCTTAGCACGGAGAAGTGGCTAATTGGGGTTAATATTTCCGTAGCAATTGTGGACCTTTTAGTCTTCAAATCAAATAATTTGTCGATATGCAAATAGATTTCAACATTGCTATCAGATAGCGGAAGTTAATTGGAGTGTTTCATTTAATTCACTGATGGAAAGAAGTATTGAAATGCTTGATGCTTAAACTTAAACAAATTTGACTTCGGGAAAAACACTAACTAATAATTCTTCTCAGGGTGAAAATTAAAAGAGAACTTACCATCAGCGGTAAATTCTGTACAATAGATACGGTTACAGAAAAGCAATGGCAATTGGCAGTCATTATGATATTTATCATTAGCCCTTTAGTTCATTTCTGGCTTCACAGATGGGAGGAACATCAAAGTCACCAGTAGTGAAGAGGTGGTGGGGGTGGGGACAGAATAGTGATTCACAGTTGTAAAGGAGACTGACACAAAGGTAGAGAAAAAGGTAAGATGAGGCAAGTACTGTGAAAGTGGTCGAATATGGCATACAGTGGGGTCATGGTAGTTTGAAGTCAACCGTCCGTTTATGGACTTTTTGCCGTATAAGTACATGTTGCTCAGGGTACAAAAAGTGGAGGTAAGTCTATTGCCCACCCTCGATTATAAAATATGATCTTGTGTGTTTTTCCTCAGATCGCGCCCAGTATATCCCCCCCCCATTTACTATCACAACTTTCTGAGCAGGTTTTGTTACTTGGAGACTCGAACGACTTCACTTATCTATTTGTTAGGTCATTCGGTTCAAAAATGTGTGTGTCAGTATAGTGAAGTTAAGGAATTTGGTTAATATTTTAGTTAGCTCATTAGGTGTTTTAGATCTTACGTAGAACGCTATGCTAATATTATAAAATAAGATTATTAGCAATATATCTTCAAACACTGTAAGTTACAAAATGAATATTGGTTTCCTGATAAACCATAGCGAAAAGGTAACGCATAGTTACTTTGTTAGGATTAAGAAGTAAATTGGCGTTATTATGTTGCAAATAGAATTTTTGGCAGTGGAAAACTCTCCAACTGGGTTAATTAACTGTTAATTAGTTGATAACTTCCAGCTTCTATGGAATTTTTTTTTCACTGAGGCCACTTTGAAGATTGGGTGACGCTCACTTCATATTTAAGGTGAATGCAATGCTTCTTTCGTGAAATTTCTTTCTTTTTTCTTTACATTTAAATGCGCAGATTCGAAGTAATAAACTCTAGATTGAGTCTAATTAAGGAACCAAAGTCTTTGTGAAATGGAAGTGACCGCATAATTATATACTTAAAATAACTAAACAGGATGTTGAAAAGATTTTGCAGATTGAATGGCCCTAACTTGGTTAGAAATTGATCTTGTTTCTCGATTTCTATTATCACTTCCATCATTATTTATTTATTTATTTCAAATGATGGGCTTTATGATACTTATCATTAGCCCTTTAGCTGACTTCGGGCTTCACGGAGGGGAGGAGGGACATCAAAGTGAGAAAAAATTCAAGAGGGGGGGGGGACAGAAAAGATATCCACAGATGTAAAAGAGACAGACGGACAGACACAAAGGCAGAGAAGAGGTGGTATAAGTATGGTGGAAGTGATCGAATAAGACATGCAGTGGGATCATAGTAGTTTGAAGTCAGAAGTCGACTGCCGATTTATAAACTTTTTGCTGCATGAATATACGTTGCCAAGGGTGCACCACGTGGAGGTAAGTCTATTGCACACCCCACTTCCATCATTATAAATCCATTCTTATTATTCGTCATTCTGGAAACTCCATTTCTGGCGTTCTAGAGTGAATCAATGGCCATCGCTGATAAGGGAAGTTATTTATTCCAATCACGGCTCTTAATTCCGTCTAGACAAAATTAGCCGCATGATTGGGAAGTTTGAAGTTCTAGATGTCTTCCAATGCTCTCATTAAGTACTCGTCAATATTCCTAACAAATGATATTCTCTAGATTATTACATAGAAAGTAATTAGATGTATGTCTTTGTGTTTAGCAGTTATTTGATTGAAGCAAACTCGGGAAGAACATACACGCTGTGTACAGAGAGTCCATATTTAACTATTAATTAAATCGAATTGGGAAAAAACGGTTAACTTATGAATTTGGATTTTTTAAAACTGTTAATTATGATTTCAACATGTTCTGCAATGGTAATAAATTAATTTTTTAGCGTTTTTCTATATCGGAATGCTCTGGAATAAGTGAATATTTGGTGCGTTTTAGGATTATTCTCATTTGAACTCTTATTTAGTGTAGAATTCACTGACCAAACATTTATTTATATCAAATGCCAGGCTTTATGATAGTTATCATCAGCCCGTTAGTTGACTTTGAGCTTCACAGAGAGGAGGAACAATAAAGTCGCAAACGGTGGAGAGGGGGAACAGAAGAGTGATTCATAAAGTTAAAAGAGACAGACAGACAGACACAAAGGTAGAGAGAAAGGTAAGGTGAGTACTGTGAAAGTGGTTGAATATGACATACAGCGGGGTCATGTTAGTTTGAAGACAGAAGTCAACTACCGGTTTATAGACTTTTTTCCCGCATGGGTATACGTTGCCCAGGGTATACCACATGGAGGTAAGTCTATCGTGCACCTCTTACTGACTGAACATGACTCGAATAATACGATTATCTTGACAGCTAAGTGGCATAGTAAAATCTGTTTGAGACCATCAGTAGAATATCAAGCATATCGAAACATGTACAAGTAAGATCCGAATTCAAATTTTTCTTGAGAATCTTGATTTCATAGCGATTTTCTGAGTTGATTAATCATAGTGTTTAAGAAAAAAATATATATATGGAATCAATTTGAATGGGATAATTTTACAATGGATCTTAATATTGATTAGCATAGTGACGACAGTTTCCATTTCCAAGCAGCAAGCACATTAGTGGTCATTAGTGAGATAAAATCGTCTTTTCGCGTGCTTGATGATTCATGCAACGCAGTCTACAGAAGAGAGTGGAATTCAACTCTATTTGCTGTAGGACGAGGCCTAAAACCCCTGTCTCGATCCTGGCATTGGCTGCATTTCTGTTTCAACCTTTATCGTTTACCAATAGAATCTCAATCGGATTATTGCAAATGTATAATATATGTTGCCTTCGGCTTAGAGGTCCCAAAGAAGAAGAAATTGGTCAGACTGTGACGTATTTCGTGAGGTAATTAAATCAATAGAAAATAATGGTACTCC